GTCATCATCACAGTCATCCCTCAGTTCGATAGCCGCTCTCCACTGAGCCCAGCTGTGCCGCGGGGCAACCAAATGTTGTACCTCGTTCCTCTCCTTCAGGGAACAGAAGTTAAAGACATAACATTTTGTTCCCTTTCAGTCGATTCACTCAGTACAACACATACAGCGTGAGACATGTAAGGCTGTGCCCGCCTGAGCTCGGCAGATTTTTTCCAGCTGCGAAGCAGAGAATCTGCAGTGCTTGGATGGGAGAGTTGCGGGGCCAGGTAAGCAGCCAGGGACGGCTCCATAGGCAGTGGATTAACTAGGCCAGCTTAATCAGCACCGTCCAAGTCCAGATACAGTCCATAGCCAAAGGCTGCCAGACTGAATGGCTGACCAGCCCGCTTGAAGGGCTCTGGCTCGAGCTCGGCTAACCCATCAGCATAATCAATGTGGTCTGCCCAGCTAGCAGCAGGGACTTCAACCGAGAACCTCTCGATGTGGGACTTGGACTAGGCTGGGTCTCTCGACTCTGCGAGGAGAGGAGAGAGTCGCGCCATCCGACATTTCTTTTCCAGAAAAGTGACCCATCTCTCGAGGGTTGAACACCGAAGCTGGCGACAGAATTCATACATCTCACAGTCCGCCAACGCTCTCCTGGCTATTTCCAGACAGACAGGACATGCTTCATGCTGGTCTTTGTCGTGCAGGCAGAAGCCACATCCCTGAGGACAGGGGAAGACCGAAGACTTCTTCCTCGACTTTGGCTTGGTGCTCATATCGAGACACAAAGCTCAGCCAGGCACGTTACAGTCGTAGCGGTGGTTAACACCAACAAGAGCAGTTGAACCAATTTCAAGACAGCAGTAGCCTATTATGAGCTAACTAGCGGTAGCTAGCTAGCTCATCTCAAGGAGGTGTTCTTAGCGAGGTGAAGAGCGGCTACAAACTTAGGGATGACTGTGATGATGACAGGGATTTATATGTGCAGACGGGGCCTCACATATGTCGTCACAGATCATCTGCTGTAAAGGTGTGAATAGACGTGTCTTCAGTCAGGTCACATGGGGGCGTGATATCCCATAATATGTGTTGTACCAAGAGAATCGACTGAGAGGGATCTATAAATGCATTTACGGAGAAACTTTCACACCCGTATTGCCTTTTTATGAAGGTTAACTAAGGTACAAAGGTAACGAGGCAGAGCTCATCAGAAACAACTTAAAGAAAGCTTAGAATGGAATAAATACTGTGACAGACTGACACAACAAGAGCAACGGGGAAGTTACTCTGAATGGTTTTAATTCTGATAATCACTTCGCTGATGAACTATACATCCTTTAATGTAAGATTTACCCCTGAGGAGTTGGGCCTGAAGCTTTGACTTCTCCTCTTCATCCACCGGTACCCTTCAAGGTTCCTTTAATTTCCTGGCTGATGTCTTGAGATGTTGCTTCAGTATTTCCACATAATTTTCTTTCCTCATCCATCTTCTCTACACCTTAATCCTCACTAGGGTCGTGGGGGGCGGAGCCTATCCCAGCTGACTCAGGGTGAAGGCAGGTTCACCTGGACAGGTAACCAGTCTATCACAGGGCTACACTTAGAGACAGACAACCAAGCACACTCACATTCACACCTACGGACAATTTAGAATCACCAATTAACCTCAGCATGTTTCTGGACTGTGGGAGGAAGCCGGAGAACCCGGAGAGAACCCACGCTGCACGGACTTGGACGACTTGCTGTGATCAATGGAACCATGAGTTCTGCTCTCTACCAGAAAGTCCTGAAGGAGAACGTTCGGCCATCAGTTCGTGACCTCAAGCTGAAGCACACTTGGGTTCTGCAGCAGGACAACGATCCAGAACACTCCAGCAAGTCCACTTCTAAATGGTTTAAAGAAACTAAATGAAGGTTCTGGAGCGGCCGAGTCGAAGTCCAGACTTGAATCTGATTGAAATGCTTCAGTATGACCTTAAAAAGGCCGTTCATGCCGGAAAACCCTCCAGTGATGCTGAATTAAATCAGTTCTGCAAAGAAGGGTGGGCCAACATATCTCCACAGAGATGTGAAAGACTCATCGCCAGTTGTAGAAAACGCTTGACTTCAGCTGTTGCTGCTGAGGACGGCCCAGCCAGGTAGGTTCAGGGGGAACTACTTTTTCATACAGGGCAGGCAGCTTTGAATAGTTTATTTTTTTTCTTTAATAAATAAAGTCATCATATAAAAACTGCATTTTGTGTTTACTTGGGTTATCTTTGTCTGATATTTACATTTGTTTGATGATCTTAAACATTAAAGTTGGTAAAATATGCAAAAAAATAAGAATTTGAGAAGGGGGCGAATACTTTTTCAAGGCACTGTACTTATTCTAACATTATAATCCCCCCAAGGAAAGTCATCTCATGACATGATCCTCTAAATATTCCTTAATTAGTGCAGGTTGATGACTAAAGATCTAACTCATATCAAAACAGTGACATCACAGTTACCTACAGTTGACACATGAAGTCAGTCAATCCCATCTCCACAGACAGAGAAAGAAAATACAGTTTGAGGTGTTTCTTTATTCCATATAGAGTAAAGCAAGTGTCAGTGTGTTTGGGTCATTACTTTAAAAAAATAAAAATAACATTGTTTTGCTACTTGTGCCTTGTTATAGTGACAGTCATCTCTGGTCATACTCACTGGTCAACATGTTCATAGAAGTGAAACACGAGTGTCCACTGAGTAGTTTAACAGTGCTCGAGCTGCAGTGTTCCTGCTCTAGTCAGAGTTTTTGTAACCTTCAGGGAACATTCCTCAAATGTTCCCTGATGGTTACTGTTAGCTGGGACATCCAATAATGTATGAAGTAATAGTAAATTAACTTTCCCGAATTGTTGATCAAGTAGTTTTAAAGTAATCACATGAAAGTGATCATTTGCCCACTGTGAGCAGCAGTCAGTCATGGCACATCATTAATTTAACATTCAGTCATCATGAGCCATGCACTAGTTAGACATCACTTACCATTTCTATACTTAAAAACAGAAGGAAAAAAAAAGTGCTTGCAGCTCATCATCAGCCTGTAAAGTCTCTACAACAGTGTCAGTGAGAGGTGCTGCTGACACACAGCGGCACTCTGCTGGAGCAGCGGCCGCTCAGCTGAAGGACACCGGGGGTAGGAACTCCTACCTTGGACAGCTCCAAGTGTCCGCGCAGCCTCTCCGGAGCGTCCGTCAGCGGCCACACAGAGCCCGGTTCCCCCTCCGACCTGCAGCGGTCACGACATGTGCTGACACCGGCTCCGGTACGTCCCGGCTTATCTCCTCCTCACCCCTTTCCGCATTTCCCTTGTTTTACTTACCGGATCGTCTGCGGTGCGTGCATGGGGGTTCCGCTGCAAGGGCGCATGCGCGGCTCAGGTCCGGCTCAGTGTGTTGCCTTCAGGTAGAGTTGGAAATAAGTAAGACATACACTTAAAATACATACAAACTACAAAATGAAGGTCACTCAACGTGTGTAAAAGTGTAGTGTGTGTGTGTGTGTGTGTGTGTGTGTGTGTGTGTGTGTGTCTGTGTGTGTGGTTTAACTGCATCAACAACAACATAATAAACACACTAAACAGTTGTAATAAAATTCAAACCATAAACTTCCTCAGCTTTAGGCAGGTGTACTGAAAAACTGGCAACTGACTGCAGTTTGAAAAAGTTTCTGATGCTTCCAGCTGGTTTATACAATACAGCCTACATGTTTGTATATGATGTGATACTGGATGAGACTTTGTAATTTAAGCCTATGTGCTTGTGCTTTGTAGGTAAAAAACAACTTTTATTCTGACCATTGGTTGCAACTTTTAAACACTTCAGGGTGTTGTTGTTCATTCGTACAGCGAGCTATACAACTACTTGTTCATCATTTATCTTCTTCTGACTCACAGACTTGTGGACTTAATGTCAGTCTTCAGTCCTCTTGTGGCGTATCTGGCATTTCACATCATTTCTATTTAACACAGACACTAGTGTCTCATCTAGCATCTAGCATCCAGACACATGTACCTGAGATTTTGAGATTCTGAGATGGTGGAGCTCGGAGTGGACGGTGAAGGCAGCATATCTGTTCCAGCAGCAGTAACAAGAGTCCTGTTCACACAGACACACACCAAATTAGTGTGCATGAGGTGTCTATTTACCAGGCCAGCAGCGGGAGGAGCTCTAGCAAGCAGCTACAGGGTCAAAGATGAGATGTTCGACTGAATTTCTCTATAACATGGACCCAGAAATACTGAGCTGCTCATACATGCCCACATGGTGTCTTCCACACAGACGCTGCTCGTTTTATATTTTAATATTAAATACTTACAAAGAAGTAATTTTTATGTTATTATCTAATAAAAAACTATTTATATATCACGCTAAAATCTCATAGATAGAGTTTCAGGCTTTCATTTCAGGTACATGAGTAGCTTTAAGGATAAAAAAAAACAGGCAACTGGCAAATACTGAAAATGTCAGTTGTGTTTATTTGAGAGCAATAATTGACAAACGCGTGCTGATTGCAGTGACCTCACAGTGAAACGTGCAGACACACAAAGGAGACACACAACCAGGGCTGACAACACCAGAGCCTGTGTCAGGACTCAGTGTGGAAACGATCTCAGTGTGAAACTGACATTTCTGCCTGGAGAGTCAGCCTGATCATCCATTGTCGGTGTCAGCACCCAAAATCATACGCTGTCAGCCCTTGCTCCTCATTGCGCATGCGCCCTCCCTCTCACGCTCCCTCCCTCTCCGTCTGCGAGGCTCCGTTTTCCAACTGACAGCTCGCAGGAAGACATGCACAGAACCGAGCCCGGGACTCCTCAGCAGCGCAGATAAAGGGCCGTGCCGGTCTGGGGCGTCGGGACACGGAGCATCCTGCTGCACGCACGCACGGGCATGGAGCGCTCCTGATCTCGGCAGGACGCCAGGAGGAGCTCGACCGTCCTTCCCTCGTCACGTCTCGGATCTGTTTGGACATTCGGAGGCCCGACCATGTCTGCGAGAGAGAAGGGAATCCTGACCAAAGACAGCGTCAGCCTGCTGCCCTGCTTCTATTTCGTGGAGGTGGGTTCACGCTTCGTGCTTCTTTGTGTCTCCGTCTGAGGAGCCTTCTGCAGGAGAGACAGAGGATGTAGTTGGATGAATAGAACCATCACCAGAGAACCATGACGGTACAACAGCCTGGTTAAAGATGAGAACCGTCTGAAAAAAACACTAGACTGCTATTTCAACATGCATGACATGAGGCATCTTGTCAACATTTACCTGCAGCTACCTGATCCCACAGCGTAAAGGCAGCTGGATCTGGTGTTGCTCTAAACAGCCTGTTGTGTTTCTTATATGTGGCTTTTGTGTCTTTATATTACATAACTGAATATTCCCAAAATCTGACACAGCTGTTCCCGGTAAAGCACACACACCACAAGACTTCATTTTTGGGTAATTCAGACTTCTATTAACTTTTTGCAATGGTTCCCTAACAATACCAGAGATCATGTATTTAAACATATTTACAGTCCACTGGGTGAGTCTGCAGCCACAGCAAATGATTTAGAAGCAAACTGAGTCCATTACCATGAGGTGCAGAGGGAAAGCATCCTGCAAACAGGACCAGGACGTCTCTAAGTAGTTTAAATACAAGTGACAAGGTGGTGCAGCCATGATGGAGGTACCAGTCAACCAAAGTCCTCCAACAATCTTTTATTTTATTTTTAGAAATGTGAAGTCAAAGGGTTACCTGAAAAATAAATCCTACTGACTGATTTCAAACATTTAGATTGCATTGAGCTTGTGGTGACTGTCACTCGCTCCCCCGCTGCACTCTTTATGCATGCTCTAATTCACTGCTGGCCTGTGGCCTTACAATCTAACTTGCAGCATCATTTATAATAGATTCGCCTCTAATACTGTGCGATGGATGCTGCTGGGATGACTACAACATCCCAGTGGATGCTTCCTTCAGCAGTGACTTTGTCAGGGGATTCCCTGGATTTGGTTCTGTTTTCAGAGCCTAAAACGTACACGTCAGCGCACTCACACGACAGTTCATGTACCTGAACCGTAAACGCCAGCCGTGAGCTTTTCAGATCAGTAAAGCTGGTGCTCACTGAGGAATCTTCCCTTCTGTTTGTACCGACAGCAGGAGGCATTGAAACTAGGTCAGTGCTGAAAGTCAATGGTACGCAGAGAACTGAAGCACTTGAATCAAGCCCACTCAGAGAATCAAGCCCACTCAGGCTAATTCCCTGAGTGTGTGTGTCAGTGGCTGGTTGTCAGAGAGCTGAGGTGGTGTCCTGTTCAGCTCTGTCCCAGCCCGCTCTCCATTCCAGCTGTGGCTGCCAGGTTCCATGACAGATGTGGACCGGAGAACAGAGCATGCCCAAAACAGATCTACCTCAGCAACCATGTCTCTCTGTCTACCAACTGCTCACCTGTATAATAATCCATTGAACATATGTGGGTGTTTATCACACAGGACCTAGTGACACTAATCATAATGAGAATTCTAAGATCCAGCGTTTCAGAACTCGACCCAAAGGGACTAAAGGTCAGAACATCTCGCTATGCCATTTCAACACTTCTTTTTTTTTTTTTTTAAACTTTCTGGAGCTATTGAGGAGCATCAGCGGCTACAGATCCTGACACAAGATGTGACAAACATAAGGGGGGCAATGCTAGACCATGAAACAGGAGCAAACATTTCTCGTCTCTCTTTAGACTAGGGTACCGCACGAACTGATGGAAATCCATAATCAAGTATTATTATTAATGTTAAACATAAATATATATAAAATATTCAAACTGTATGTCATCTAACACTATATGTCACTAATCTGTATTTATATTTAATCTATATGTCTGTAGTCAGCGACTCAGTGAGCAGATTCATGCTTTTCAAAATCAGACGAATGTATGTGAAAAAAGTTGAAGTCCTCAAAATCAGATGTTTTTTGGATGTGTAATAGTTTTAGTATATTTATCAAAGCCACGCAAAGTGTTACCTTCATACTATTAATATTTAAAGGCCCTTAAAGTACATAGAGGTGGGTTTAAATGTTCTAATTTCTTTTAATTACTTTTGGAACCCTCATAGCTTCATACATAAAGAAAATAGCCACGCATGTATTTATCAACATCATGCTCAAAGCTGGTGATGGAAAAAAGTCACGCTAAACAAAAACTACATTTTGGCTTCAGATGGTGACATCCAGGATAAATGTCCGTTTTTAGCAGAGCTCAAATGTGTTTTTTTTAGCTGAAAATGTCTCCTTTAAAAAATATATTTGGGCTGCAGGTGGATCAGTGGTTAGCACTGTTGCCTCACAGCTAGAAGGTCGCTGGTCCCAGTGAGGACACCCGGGATCTTCCTGCGTGGAGTCTCCATGTTCTCCCCGTGCAGCGTGGGTTCTCTCCGGGTTCTCCGGCTTCCTCCCACAGTCCAGAAACATGCTGAGGTTAATTGGTGATTGTAAATTGTCCGTAGGTGTGAATGTGAGTGTGCTTGGTTGTCTGTCTCTAAGTGTAGCCCTGTGATAGACTGGTTACCTGTCCAGGTGAACCTGCCTTCACCCTGAGTCAGCTGGGATAGACTCCGCCCCCCAGTGAGGATTAAGGTGTAGAGATGATGGATGGATGGATGGATGGAAAAAAATGTATGTGATGTGGGCTCAAAAATGCGGTGAAATGTGAATTGTCAAACTACCACCATGCAGTTCAGGTGCCTGTAACTTGGAAAATAACCACAGGATAACATTTTGCATGGCTTCATTAAATGTACTAAAGCAGATTTTTAGGGGGTCAGGTGGAAGGTGGAGGAGTTTCCATGGAATGACCCAGCAGTACATTGAGATGTGTGACACTATTATAAGGTGCTGAGTTGCACAGTCATCATATTGGCCTTTGTGTCAGCAGCAGCAACATTTTTGGAATATTTGAGCATTTCATAGTGGATCAATGCACACACTCCACATCTGGATACTCACAAAATGACTGACGGCAAATGTAGTGCACAACATAGTCAATTGAGAAGGATTTCTGTGTGGTTTTATAGTCTATAAACAAAGTGAGCGAAGCATCTAATTATTGTAATTGTTGTACTCGTAATCAGTTGTGAGTCAGTTCAGTGTGAAGGGACTGAGTTTCCACAGAGAAACATTAGATGTGGTGTTGAGGAAAAGCTGCAAATTGGATGTCCACGAAGGCTCCAGTGTGAAGCTTTAGGCTGCTTTTTCCTCCAAAGTGGAACGAATGGAAGCATGAGAAAGGCTGAATAACTATTATCTAACACCGGAGAAAAACACAAGATTAGATCCTATGTATAATTGTTGGGAGGGACACAACCATTAGAGGAAGATAAAGAGAGCAGTGCATCCCCAGAAAGGTTACCGCGGAGCTCTCTAACCTGAGGACTGTTTACTCACTGAGCTCTTGTGTTGAATTTCCATTCTGATCCACTACATTATACATCATTTCATGCCCTTCAAAAGAGGTGGTCCAGACTACATGGTGAAACTACACAACCAGCTTTGTTTTCTTGCTGCTGTTTTTGTTTTGTGTATATACATATATATACATACATATATATATACATATATATATATACACACAGTTGTGACTCGATAATCCGACACTAAATGTAAAACCTTCTTCTATGTCGGATATCAAGGCTGTCGGATTGTCCAGACGGAGGTCCAGATACGAGGAGGGCTTGATGCTGGAAGGTTCATTAGTTGTTCATTATTGTTCATAGTTGTTATAATAACTAGTAGGGCTGGTCCCAGTAGAACTTTCTGCTCTCAGGTAATGATGAATATCAGAACATTCTGTGCGGTCGGGGGACACTTCCACCCCGGGGCAGCGCTCTGACGGGGTGGAAGTGTCCAGAACACACAGGCAGTACTTGGCTGCTGATGCTAGTTTAGTTAGCGCTCACACTTCTGTTTCCTCCATCGGTGGCGGCGGGGGAGTGGCAGATACGCTCCACCGTTACCATCCATGTTTACTTCCATAAACACTGAGCACGCTCGCTGCATGTGACGTCGTCGTGTCCTCTTCTGCGCATGCGGGACACTTTTGGCTCGTATGAAGTTCACACAGCAGATCACATACAAGTCGCATTGAAGTGGAAACGTGAAGGAAGTCACAAAGAAATCCTCATTGAGCATCAAGTCCTGCAGTGTGAACGTAGCCAATCTGTGGGATTGTTCAGTCAGATAATACGCCGTCATCCTGATCGGTGACATTAAATGTCATGTCGGAGTCACAATCCAAGGCTGTCGCTATGTTAAGGCTGTTTTTATGGGTTCTGTTGGGTTTTCCTACAAACCTGTCAGATAGCAGGTTTAGGATTGTTAAGGGTCGATTATGGAGTCATGACTGTATGAAACCAGCCAGCATGACAGTGTGAAGAGGTGATTGGTGGAAGCCAGAGCATAAACATGCCAAGATAGACTTGTTTGGATTAGTAATGTCACAGCTTTGGTGTGTGTCATGTTGTCAACACATTTTGTGTTGTGTGTTGTTTTCTCTGGCAGGGGACACGATGACGATTGTTGTTGTGTCTGGCTGTCAGAAGGTCTTTTAGATCAGATCATCATGTCACTGGATGATGGGTTAAAACTTCAGCCAGCCGAGTGATGCTGATTACGTTTGTGAAGCGCTGATAAAGTACAGGAGGCTTTTTGTTGTTTTTTTTGTTTGTTGATGAGCCAAAATATTATCACCAGCTACCCAGAATACTGGTCTTTCACAAAACCTGTAACTGTAATTAACGTAAACCACAGGAGGTAAACATTTTATTGTACTGAGTCCAAATGTTCTGCTCTGCGTAGAACGCTGTGGAAACAGTAGTTTCTCTGCATAAATGAAGACTGTGAAGATGGTGAAGACATACTGGTGACAGACTTGCTGTCAATCAAACCTCGACATTTGTAAATACCATCCTGACATCGTTTGACTGGAGTAAAAGCTAAAAGCTTTGTTGTGGCACTTAATACGTTTCCACCTGTTTATTTGTTGTGGTGCTCTGAATGCCTTCCATTCTGTCTTTTTCATAGGCGAGCACT